TATATAGTATATACGTAGTAGCACACACGCACACACACACACACACACACACACACACACACACACACACACACACACACACACACACACACACACACACACACACACACACACACACACGAGGGAGGTCGTGGTCAGAGACAGAACGGGGACCAGCTGGAGCCTTATGGACAAAACACCTTCATCCTGCGGTGTGTGTGTGTGTGTGTGAGAGCCATGACCTCCTCACTCCTTCACTCAGAGTCACCCCGACGTCATCTACATACAGGCAGTGGTGGAAAAAGTACTACGTTCCTTTACTTAAGTAAAAGTACTAATACCACAGTCTAAACATACTCCATTACCAGTAAAGGTCCTGAGTTAAAAATGTTACTAACATAAAAGTATTATCAGATAAATGTACTCAAGTATAAAAAGTACTCATTGTGGAGAATGCCTGTTATACATTTGTTGTATTATTATAGAATATTATATGTTTCTGTTTGAATCATTAGAAACATATGGAGCACATTTTGGAAAATACTTAGTAAATGATTGGTAAATATAGATCATATAAACAAATGTATTTATTTGAAAAGTAACTGCAAATAAATGAAGTGCAGTAAAAGTAAAACATTTACATCTGAAATGTAGAAAGTAGCAGAAAAGCAAAATACTCAAAAGTAAAAGCACCCCAAAATGATACTCAGGTACATTACTTGAGTAAATGTACTCAGTTACATTCCACCACTGCATCTAGGGCTTAAAACACTCATGTTCACCCTCTCACTAAATCACATTTGCAGGTTTCAGAAGGATCACGTATGTATGTGTTCTCTCTTCTGTTGTGTGTTTGAACGCCTTATTTTGAAGGCCTTGTGTGAGTTGTGTCCCATTTCCTCCACACCACGATCACCTCCAGACATCCAGGAGAGGAAAGGAGACGAAAGGTCATTCTCCATCTTCCTCATCCTCACTGTCCCTCTCTCTGAGCACACCCTCCCTCCCCCCTGACGCGGTTCAGGCTAACCCCTTGCTGCTTTGAGCACCCTTGTTTTGCCGCAGCGGGGGGGGCCTCTCAGCGTTGTGGTGTGCTGCATGCTTGCCCTGTCTTCCTCCTCGCCCCTCTGCTGGCACCCTGGAGCAGGCGATGGGGGGAGGTAAGGTTAGCTTACGCCCCCCCCGCCTCCAGCCTTTCTGTTCAGTTAACCCTCATTGCCTGGTCGTACTGAATTAACCTGAATGCTACTGTTTAGGTTCGGTGCCTGTGGTTCTTTTTTTTTATAATACCTTGTTTTTTTTTGTTCATAAAGCATGTTTTCCTGTTTTTAACAACGAGTGATCTCCTCCTCCCAGTGTTCACCAGTTTAATCTCAGTAAAGGACGATAGGGACCCGAATATGTTGTTTTCTGAATGATCTTATGCATAGGTAGGTCTTGTGCATTTGTTTTACTGTAAGTACACAGTACAGTACGTATGTCAAAATGTTATTATGGTATGTTTTGATCAGAGTGTCTAACACACGTTGTTGTTAGTTTACAGTTAATCAGCCTTGTGGAAATGTCTCCACTTGGTCCAGGCAACCCAAAAATGAAAATATGATTTACACCTGATGTTAGGATGATCCACTTAAACTGTCTACTGTATATGGAAATATACTGTGATCCTTTTCCTGTGAGTCTGTGACTGACCCAGAATCTCCTGCTTTTTTTGGGCCTTAACTTTGGTTTTCTGAGAGAAAGGATGATGCTGATAGCTGTGGTTTGCTGAAAGGATTAAGATGTGATTATCTCAAGAGGTTTGGGGGCAGAATTAAGAGTTTTTATAATCATACAGAGAAAGTATTTCCACTGATTCCCCGGCACATAATGTACGTGATTTTAACATTTTCTGTTTTATATATTTGATGATGTTAAGTTGAGATTCAGCTTTTCTTTTTTTGTTTTCTAAAGCTGGAAGTCTATGTTGTATTTTCTGCCTGAATGGGACTGAAATCCCTTAACTGCAAATATTAGTAACAATGAAATTGTTCTGTATGAAGCCATTCTTAAATATTGATCTGATTCAGCATGTTACAAACACTTTTCAACCGGAGGAGTGACGGACATATTGACCTTTTGGACTCTTACATGGAAGAAATTATGAAATCTCTGCTGAAGTTCATGTTTTCTTTCCAACATGTCATGATTTCAAAAACCTTATTATGTTTTTAACGATAAATCTGAAGAGGCACAGATCATTGTAGCTCAATAGCATCCATCTCTGCCAGTGCTCTGCAAAGACAACACAAAACTTTGAGTCCCTGCCCCGGAATAGCCTGCCTGTACAGAGGAAACGGCACGTTGGAATTAGAGAGAATATATATGAATATATAAATAAAGTTTAAAAAGGAAAACATCTATTTTAACTATTGAGAGTCTTACCATTACTTTATCTGCTTTGCAAAGTAAGACTTCCTTTCCTTTCTAAGGTCTACCAAATGGTGTGTTTTTGCACTTTTTCGTTTGTGTTCCATTTGGTAGCCCATGCTTGTGTTTTGGAGCACTGAATACTTTGTATTGTGTTTACCGTGCCAATTAAATATGCCTGGAAAGTTAATGATGTTGAGTCGTGTCTTTGTTTTCTTCCCTTTGGAATTGAGACACAATCAATAGCTAACCTTTTCAATCAAACAGCAACTATGAGCTTGATTACCCACAATGATTAACTTGCTGCTAATGAGAGGAAACAGGATAAATGTGTGATTTCATTTAAAGGTCCCATGTCATGCTTTTCCGGTTATTACCCGTCCCCTTGTGTGTCATGAAGGTTTTTCTGCTTGTAAACGGTCTGCAGAGTCACAAACCCTCAAAGTACACCCTGTAGCGAGTAAAACTCTAACACAGAAAAGACCTGTCTATGCTGCCCCAGAACACCTCGTTGGACATTTCTCTTTTTCCATTGTTTGCTTCCTGGGTATAGTGACGTATTTTGGGTATTGTGACGTAACGTCCATGGAGCCATTACGTTTGGACCAATCCGCGGACATCCTCACACACACACTCGGCAGGACGTTGCGAGGCTCGCTGCTGCGAGGAGCGGACAGTGTGAGCTGGCTCACTGGTGTGGGGTCGGCGAGACACCACAGAACTCAGCCTGAGCACACACACAAACTCCCAGCCAGGCTGTGGGTGTGTGTGTGTTTCGGGCTGGGTTTCGCGGTGTCTCGCTTTCTTGCAGACGGCCACTGGGCTCACAGGGAGGGAGGGGGGGGGGCAGGAGCTCCTACAAGCTGTTTAGGACAGAGAATGAATACACATACTGTACAGAGATGCTGTATGAGAAACCAATGTGAGTTTGGAAAATTGCACAATATAAATGTATTTTAGTAGACCTCAACAATGGAATTATGATCAGTAGAAATGGCCATGACATGGGACCTTTGAATAAGATTGCCCCAACACAAACAGCACAGATGTACCTACTTTATCTAGTATCTCTGCAGATGTTCAACTATTGCTGTAACTAATGACTTTAGTTATTTATGAATCTGTTTGTCATTTTTAAATAAGTAATTACTTGTTTACTCTATGAAATATAGATGTAGGTTCTGGGAGCCCATGTACTGACATGTATTTTTCTTTGTCGAACCAGCAATGAAACGGAAACATATAATACTTATAATAATGTGGCCTATTCGTTTTCTGTTGCACGACTCAATTATTCATTGACAAATTATTTCACTTTATAAGCTAACTGCAGTCGTGCAACAGAAAACGAATAGGCCACATTATTATAAGTATTATATGTTTCCGTTNATGGGTGTTGAGAGATGTATACATAGATCTCTTAATGTTGCTCTCAAAGTGCACCAGATTGATGAATTTAACTTCAATATTTTAATAAAAATCTTCCCGGGGGAGCATGCCCCCGGACCTCCTTAGAGGAGGTGAGGTCCACCTAAAAGGTCCACCCAACACTGTACACATGAACGTTTCTTTTTTTTCGGTTCACCAAAAAAAAAGTCTCACTCCAAGGTGAACTCAAAGGTTGGCAGCCCTGGCATATATTTATGTTAATGTGTGTTTGTGAAGTTTTAATTACCTTTCAGGCGTCTTGGCTGTAAATCAGAAACAACTGAGAGGGATTTAACTCGGGGAAGAAGGCACACCCACACTCTGAGCGCACTTTTCTTCTTATCTCTACTTCTCATGTTCAGCCAAAATATCATCAATTTAGATTATTCCTGCCTCAAGAAACATCAAATGATTTCAACATGTCTCCACGGGTCAAACAATATTTAAAGAGCTTTAAAAGTGTGAACGATCCATCAGCGACTGATGAAAGCAGAGATTGTTCTCTGACTTGTTTGGGCCTAAAGACTGACGGAAGATTAGACTGCAGCAGGTTTGATCAGTCCTCAGTGCAGCTGTAATCAGAGAGCTCTGCCGATGACCTGTTCAACTTCAAGCACAGCAGAGGAAGTAGATAAAACTGCTCAATGTGTGGCAAGTACATCACCTCAAGTACTGTACCTATGACTGGTACTTGATTTGAGTATTTTCTTTTCAGGGTAATATTGTACTTTTCATTCTACTTCATTTTCTACTTAACTTTTCAGATTCAGAGCAATAACACAAAATATCAATCCATATAGTTATATTGATAAGGCTTAATTCTCAAGAGTGCAAATGCCGGGGCTCTACTTTTCCCAACCATATTCTCAACCACGAAAACATAAAATATATTCACTTTGGGAAGCACTTCTCACAAGTGCATTACAAACAAATACCTTTTCGATAATGAGAAATGTGTGTGAAGGGGTTTTGATTTTAAAAAAAATCAATAAACCAACAGAGCTGCAGGCCGTCATCAGAAGGCAAGTAAACTCTTGCAAAAAGAGCACTAGAATCTGCCCTGATGCAGGTCACCTAGTGGGAGGGTGTTTCGTTCATTATTATTCAAGCTACATTTATATTTGTCTCAAAATGCCTGTAAATATCAAAGTTTCTGG